TTGCCAACAGTGTCCCCTGCAGCCTTGGGCCATCAGGGCATCTTGGCCATGGGGACAGGCACCATGCCGGCTGCCGCCTCCGAGCATGAGCCTGAGCTCACTCACTTTTTAATCTGGGTCTCAGTTTCCTCATCTGCAAAGTGGGAATAATAATCCCTTATTAGTCTACTCTATATGGTGTTGTGAAGGCTAGGTAAGAAAATGGGTTTAGAATCTCACTGGAAAAGCACTATGCCCATAGAAGTTGTCATCATCATTCAGACAGGTCAGGGCCTTGGAGAACTGGTGCATTGGAGGGGAGATGACTGTTAGGGTGGAAATCGCCAAATGAAATCAGCTCCTGACTTGGTCTTGTGCTGGTTCTCTCTGAGATGTTAACTGCCTTCCCTGGGGGAGCCTAAGTTTCCACACTGTGTGGCAGCTTGGGGGCTGTGGTAGCGCAAGGCCATCGAGCCTTGCCAACCCTTCCGGCTATGGTTGGGTGAATGCCTTGGTCTTCACAAGATAGTTTGTCTAAAAAGTCAGCTAGGCTGACAAGCAAAAGCAGAGCCTTCTAAAAGCCATAGAAAGTGCATTATGGTCAGAATTCCCTTCTGTGTTTATTGGCATCTTCAAGTTCTCGGAAAATGAAGGCAAACCTGATTGTGGAGCATTGGAGCTGGCAGGGCTCTCCGTCTCCACCTCTTGCGTCATCCTCATGTACAGAGGAGGAAGCTGAGGAACTGGGAGGTGAAGGGACATCCCCAATGGCACACAGCCAAGACAAGCACCCAGTCCTCCTGTTGCCTAGGGTTCTCTCAACAAACATTTGTTCTACAAATATTTACAAGGTGCCTACCATGTACCAGGCCCCAAGCAGTGAAAAAGACACCCAGAGTCCCTGTCCTCAAGGAGCCTGCATTCTAGTGGGAGACAGCCAAGAGAGAAAATAAGTCACGTAAGCAAGCAGTTAAATAAAAGAATGAAAGTTGCAGTGAGTGCCTTGATCAGGGGTCTGAAATCGGTAATGGAGGGGAAAAGGAGTCCTAATTTATCTGGTGGTCAAGAAGGCCTCTTTGAGGAGGTGACATTTCTGTGATGCCTGAGTTCGGAGAAGAGCATTTCAGGTCTTATAAAGGAGAGGAAGAGGAACATGGTGTGTCTGCATGTGACTGGAGCATAGCGAGTGAAGGGATGAGTTTGGAGAGAGAAGCAGGGTTTTGCAGTGCCTCATGGGCCATGGTGAACACTTTGCATTGCATTTTAAGTGCCTTACAGTATGACCGGATGCATGTTTTAAGAAGATTGCTTGGACAGCAGCGTGGCACTGGGTGGAAGGAGTGGGAGCTGGGAGTCCCATTCTGAAGTCAAGGTGAGAGGTGACGGTGACACAGCCTAGGGTGGTGGTGGAGGATGTGGCAAGAAGAGGGCTGCTTCAGATCTGTTTTGGAGATAGGCTTGTTGATGGATAGATTGGCTGGGGGCTGGGGTTGGAGGGTGGGAAGGAGAGGGAGGAAGCAAGGGTGACTCGGAGTTTCCGGATTGAGTAATTCTTGTTCCACAGTGCTGCATGCACTGTCTAGAGGAGACCTGCTCCAGTGCTTTACCAAAGTCCAACCTCCATCCCAGCCTCCTACTGGATAAAAATACCCTTTCAGGTTCAGTAAGAGTCATTGCCTTGCCTGTTTAGCAGGTGGAGAAACTGAGTCACAAGCAAATTGCCCCTAAGGGAACCAATTGTATGAGCTTGACAAAGAACCAGAACTTGAATTCCAAGGGCAGCCTTGGTCACCAGCTACATAGAGACCTAGGTGATGTCCAGTCTTACCATTTAATAAGCAGTGTGAGCTTACACAACAAGCTGTAAGACCTCTCTCAACCCCAGTTTCCTTATCAGTAAAATGGGGGAAATGATAGGCCCTACCTCACAGTGGTGTTGGGAGGATTAAAGGAGGATTAATATCTAGTAGACCTTCATTAGATATGAGTTATTATTGCTTCTAGACTACATAGTTCCCATATGTACCTACCTCTGCATTCATATACATGTGGACATTCTATGTGTGGACACATGTGTGCAAAAGCCATTGTATGCCTACATCACAGCTGATGACCAGGCGCGAATAAGGTTTCGAGTTAAGACAGTAGCAGATTTGCTCATTGGGCTCTGTCTAGCCTTCTGAGCCATGCTTGATGGCCAGAGCAGAAGCCTTTATCCTCAAAACATGAGTGAATTGCTGGATTTGGAGCTAGATGTGAAAGGCTAGGCGCCTGTATAGCCAGCCTGTTTCCATGTGCTCTCACTGAGCTGACCTGGGAAGGTGGAGCGGGGGTGAGGGTGTTGGGAAGCAGGAGGGTGAGTAAGAGGGAGGGGGCCAAAGTGAGCCTAGGAAGGAACCACAGCCCAAAAGGAAATGCACAATAACAGACCTGGAGTCTGGTCTGCCCAGAGTCCCATCTGTGAGTGGCTTTGGGAGACTTCCCCATCCCCTTTACCCACTCCACCCCACCCCACTGCTCTGAGGCTACTTTATATTTCTGTTTTCTGGAGGCAGCTGGCTCTGAGGATTGAGAACAGGGAGGCAAATCTGGAGGGGACATGGGGGCAGGACTCCCCACTTTCTGCTCTGAACCATTTCCAGAGGGCATGCCCCAACAGAGCACACACACAGTGATTAAGGGGGAGGAAGGAGTGACATTCACTGTCCACTGCAGGATCCAGGAGTGGGCTGGACGGTGACCAGCTTCCCCCAGGCTTTTGGCTGCAATATTATTGGCCCTGGCACCACCCACTGGCAGGCTCAGACCCTCCTTCAAGTCCAGGGGCTGGAGTCCTGCAGGAGGGGCCATCTGGGGGCAGACTGGACTGGGCACCGCACCCCCTCTCAGCTCCCCTCCCCTCCACCCTCTCTGCCTGCATCCAGCTGAGTTTGGAAGAGGTACTCTAGTCCTCCCTCCCCTCCAAAGCAGGCCCTGCCCTGCACCCTCTCCTTTCACCAGAAGCTGCATCCATAAACTGGCTCCACCACAAAGATCCCACCTGATATTTTGCCCACTGGGAGGACCCTCTGAACCAGGCAGGCTGCCCCCTCCCCAGTGGCTGCACCCCCACCTCTGCCTTCACCTGCCGTGCCCCCCACCTGACCCATCCTTCTGCTCACAGCATTACAAACTTCCCAGCCTACCTGGCCAGCCTCCTCCTGAGCCCTCTCCAGACAAGCCCCATCTTACTAACTGCTCTTGGTAATAAGTTCCTTGTCTGCTCTGCAGAATTAGCCACCTGTTCCTTAATGGACCCTGAGCCATGCTGTATACACCTTGTCCCACACTGTCCAGTCCACCTGTGCCTTATCTCCCGCACAAGACGTGACGCTCCGAGGGTGGCACCCCACGTCACCCCACTGCACCTGACCTCCACCCAGGCCATTGGGCAAACCCCTTATGGGTGCACAACAAACACCCTTGGATTGATACTCCATCCAGGTCACAGGTTGGCACCTTCACCCACCCCAATTTGGGAGTGGAGTGTGGAGTTACACTAGACTGGATGTTTAATTAGTGACTTTGTGGACAAAGGGATTGGATTTTTCATTCTTTGGCTTGGGTGTTCCGTGGGTACGTGGTTTTTGATAAAATCCCTGGAGTCATCAAACCTTGGAAAACTGTCCGCCTACCCTGATTAAGCACCTCTCCTCCTTCCTGTCAACCCCTGGCTCCCTGGTTTAGCACTCCTCCCCACCCCAACCTGTCCCATCACCTCTTCCCCCTCATGCTGCCATCCTCGGCCCTCCCAGCACAGCATCAAGGGGCTGACACACTCATTCCAGTTGCTTATGGAAACTCCTGCTCCCCTCCCATGGGCATTCACCATTTTAGAGAGACCCTTCTTCCCTTCCTGAAGCTCTTTGCCTGCCTGCATGGGACATGCTGTCAGCAGGGCATGCCTCACAGAGGAGTGAATCACTAACACAGGACCTCAGGCAGGGGGCACCTGCATTCAGAAGGAGACATTTTTAGTCTGAAGGAGCTTCCAGGACCTCTGCAAATCACAGCCCCGTCCTTGGCTCTCTGTGGACTGATGGACCTTGGGTTTTTACCATAGGCTTCAGGGTGCTTTAAGGCTGAGGAGAAGCAAATGGCTCATGGCCTGCTCCCAGGACAGTGACAGAGGCTGTAGATTCCTGGGCACCTCACTGGTCTCATTTGCTTTGCGCTGATTCTCAGTGGCACATGGGGCAGCTGGTCAGCAGGGAAGCACCACTCTCCCTGGCTCTTCCCTCAGTGTTTGGACCAGTCCACGGAGGTACCAAGGAGTTAATACTGTTTTCCCCAGGTTACTGGACAATTCCAGGGGAAAGAGGGCTGACAGCGGCAGGAACCTCTTGGTTGACAGTGTTCACAAGGGTGTGGAGTGTGGCTGTATGGAACAGCTTGGGAAGGGGTGCTCTCGCTGCACCCCTCTGTGACTGGTGGTTGGCTCACCCCAAATGTGGACTGTTGGAATCTCTGGTTGGCATTTCTGAGTCAGTCTTAAAGTGGAGACAAAGCAAAGGAGCGCCTGTGTGATGTGTGTCTGTGTTGGGGTGGGTTTGGCAGTGGGTGCCCCTGAGAACTCCAAACCCCAACCTCAGGCCTCAACACCCTACCTGGGCCAGGCCCGCTGGGCAGTCCAGTGGAGGAAGCCACAGGCAGTTCTGGGCTCACTTCCTGCACATCCCTCTTTTTATTTGCCACGTGAATGATTGCTGTGCAGTGTTTGATTTGGTTAAGTTACACTCACGACTCTTTAAGGAGAAAACATATAATTCTAGTAATTTTATTGGGCTCAGGTTTCAGGCAAATGGAAATAAAATTACCTCTAAAAATAAAAGACAGACACGCAGAATTGAATAAAACAATAATAATAAAAAAGCCACCCCTGATTTGAGATAAGTGGTATAAAGCATTTTATGAAATATTAGAAGAAGGAAAAAAAAAAAAAAGAGAGACCCAGGAGAAAAGAGGAAGAAAAAAAAAATCTACCACCACCATTGCTTTCATTTCTGCTTTTCCTTTTCAAAAGAGCTTAATTTGCGTGTTATAAAGTGAAGCATAAAGCGCGGCTGGTGAGATTGGTCCTTGTCCGGCGCTTCACAGTACAGGTGGACGCCAGGGGCTGCCTGCCAAATACTTCTGGTTGGAGGGAGGGGTGGGAGTGTAGGCGAAACCACTCCTGGAATGGCTTAACTCGCCGAGCGCGAATCAATGACGCCCGCCCGCCGGCTGCGGCAGGCTCCTTCGAGTAGCGCGGCCGCGTGGACTCCCGTCCCGGGACCCTGGAGGCGCGCAGGACACGGCCCGGCAAGAGCGCGGCGTCCCCGGGGGAGCCAGGTGGGTCTGCGGCGGGCTCGGCCGGGAACCAGGCTTTGAACCTATTCGCAGAGCGCGATGGGGCTGGGAGACAGCCCTTCCGGGCGTCCGGGAGAGCTAGGGGGGCGCCCGGTGGCAACGTCCCCCACCCCGAACGGAGCGGGCACTTAGGCTTTGCTCAGTGGGGACCCTCGGGCTCCGGATGGTGCTTCGGGGACCTCGGGGCGACTCCGGACAGCGCTCACCCGGCGTGCGTGTGCGTTGGTGTGTCTGTAGTTTCAAACCCGCCTCCGCTCTCAGCGCTCAGCGTGCTTTAGAATCAAGGCTGGGAGTCCCTGAGTGAACGCATGGGCGCGTATCCGCGACCTCCCAACGAAAGGACAAGAAGCGTCTTAAACTCTGAAGAAAGCACCTCCTGTCGCATTCTCCTTGCCGTCTGCCTGCGCGGGCAGGATTTTTGTGTGTGTGTCGCGGTGGGGGCGGGGGAAGCGAAAAGAGTAAAGAGGACTCGGAAAGGTAGTTGCGGCTGTGCCTTGTTAGTTTAAATTGCTTCTCGGCAAAAAGACTTGGTGCTCCTGAGGGCCAGATGCAAAACTTGGAGCCGGGGCGGGGGTGGGTGCGTGGGGGTACAGAAGCCATAGCAACTCCTTGCAGAAAGCCGAGGTCCGGAGCTAGGGCGAGGGGACTGGCAGAAATCGTTCGCGAGCCTTATGGGGTCCCGTCGGGGTCCCTGGGCTCGGATCGTGGTCACAGCTGAGCTCCCATTTAGGGGTGGGTGGGGCAGCGAAAACTCCCTTCCGGGCTGTCGGGTCAAGCCGGGGTCTCAGGGACCTCTTGAGGCGGCCCAGTGGGGGCTGGGACAGGGACCCGCCCAGGGCTGGCGTCACCCTCTGGAGCCCCGGGTTCCCTACATGAGGGCAGAGTGGCCGTCGAGCTTACCTGAGGAGGACTCTGGAAAGAGCCCCTCCCCCAGCCCTCACCCGCGTGGAGCGTCGAGTGCCCGTGCGGTTTTCTTTGTGCCGGGACTGGTGAGGGCTTCTGAGGCGTCTGTGGTCCCCGCTCGGGCTGCGCCAGTGGGATTGGCAGGGGGCGCTGCCCTCTTTTTTAGCACCTGGTAGGGACTCTGCACCGGAGGCAGCCACGTTTCCGGTCAAGAGGTATACCCTCTTTCAACCCCCCTAACTGAAGAATGTTGACAATGTCAAGGAAGTGGTAGAAATAATCAGGCAGTTTTTCTCCAGATCAGATAGAAGACTCTGTGGAAGGGGCGGGGGGGTGAGGCTGGAGGCCGTGCCAGGTTCCAGCTTCAGCTCCACTCCTCTCTCCGGCTACCTTCACTAGCTGAGTCCTCTTGAGGCTTAGGGGCTCAGGAACGTTTTCTGGCTGGGTCCCCAGGACCGGAAAGTAGCCAGGTGCCACCCTCTCCCCTTATGGCCCACACTGGGCTGACCAGGAAAAGAAATCCACTTTTCCAAAAAAGACCCGGGTCTGCCTGTGCGCCTCTCTCTGGGTGTGGGTGCATGGGACTGTTTCCTCAGCTCTCCCAAACTACCACACTTGAGTCTAACTACACAGTGTTCAGGTCAGTGCCCACCACCATCATCATTCCCATTTTACAGGTGAGGGACTGAGGCGGGGGGGCAAGGTGAGCCCCCCAAGGTAACACAATAGCCAATAGCAGAGTCCAGGGCTCCTGACACAGGTCCACGGGCACCAGTGCCACATGGGCCCTGTGGTCAACAACCTGGATTTCAGAGCTTAATGAAACTGGTAGATTTGGATCCCACTGGGCACCTTCTGAGTGCTGCAGGGAGGTACAGACAGGACTCAGGCCTGCCACCACCACCAAGGGGCACCCAGCAAAGTCAGGTCGATGAGACACACAGCAGTAAACAAAACTAAGGTAGCAAATGGGAAATCCTCCACAGACTGCTGAAAGAGCTGCTTTGAGACTTTGGAAGAGGCTCTTTGGGGGCAGGAAAGGTCAAGGAAGGCTTAGCCAAAAAAGAGGTGGCATTGGGGCAGGGTGTTGACGGAGGTTGGACAAAAGGGCAAAAGCCTGGAGGCCACAGAACCTGAGGCTTGTCCTGCTCTGTGTCAGTGCTGGGAGGTAAGCAAGAGAGGGGAAGGGCGAGCAGGAAAGGGACAGAACATTTAGAGACCATGTGCTCTGTGCCACCCACATAAGCCCTTGAGATGTGAATCATTGGTTCCACTTTGCAGATGCGGAAACTGAGGCAGGGTTAAGTAAGCTGTCCAGCTAGCTAATTAGTGCCAGAACCAGGATTCAAACTACCCATTAGACACACATCTTCCAGAAGCTTACGCTTTAGTTGGTAAGATTATATACAATACAAAATAGTATGTAAGCATTACACAGAATATTCACTTTTCTGAATCTTAATTTCTTGCCATTCATTCGATCAATCATTTAGTCAACAACTATTGTATGGTCTTCTGTATGTTTCTAGGCTCTGTCGCTAAGGGCAAGGCATACATCAATAAATGAAATAAGACCTGGTCCCTGGCCTCTGTGAATGGGAACAGTAATAGCAATAGTAATAGTAACAGTACATTCCTCAATGGGTATTTGAGTGGATGAAATGAGACAAGACATGGGAAAGTGCTACAGAAGCATTGCTGTTAAGGAGGAGGAACAGGAAGGCTGGCGTTTGGCTAGGTGGAGAGGAGTTTGAGAGGCATTCTGCAGGGAAGTTGGAATAATGAGCTGTCCCTGTGCTGCAGCTGCAAAGACTCAGCCCTGGCTCGAGAGAATGCTGTGGAGTACACCCAGCACACCCAACTCTGCCTTGAGTGTCTCTGAGGCCCTTTGAGTCTCTCCTGTTCAGATGATCAGTTTATGATTATGGTTTGGAGATGCGTCTTGAGTTTGGGCATATCCCAGCTGGAGATGACAAGAGGAGCCCTGTGCAGCCTCCAAGAAGACTGGCCACTCCTGGAAGGAGAACTGCCCCAGTGCAGCACACCCATGATGCACCTGCTACGTTTCTCAGTGGTCATGATGGCATTTCCTGCACTCGCAGGGCTCGAGCTGCAGCTCCAAGCCCGTCATTTTACTGTTGAGGAAGTCTGTCCCCGGTCTCAGGACTAGTTGGTAGCAAAGCCAGGACTGGAACTCATGTTCTTCATCTTCCTAGCTCACACTGGCCTGTCAGGACAGTTTCAGGGCGCAGCTGAAAAGACAGTGCCCGTCTGCACACATCTCCACTTCCAGCATCATTTCCTGATGCTCCTGTCCATCCCCATTTTAGCTGACCTGACATATCTGTCCTAATAAAATGATGTCAGATAGATCTTTGAGACAGAGCAGCCATAAATACTCCAGGACATTTGGAATGGTATAATAGGTGTAAGATAGCTACCTCTAAAATTAGCTATCATTTCTGTGAGGACGGTGAAGTGATAAATCTTGCCTGGAAGCTAGTGTCCATCTGAGTGATGCTCTGGGACCTTCCTTCTCCAGAACTGACATCAACTCCTGAAAGGGGGACAGTTAGTCTTTCTTTTTTCCTCCTTATTTTTTTTAAATCTTCTGGGTTTGAGGTCACAAGATTGTATTGCATTCCATTTTGATTTAGTGGTGCCAGAATAAAACATTTTTCTCCTGATATTGAGATTATCAGCTCGATAAGGGCAGTGAGCACCAGGCTGGCCTCCCCAGTATTTACAGCAATGAGACAGGTGTATAATTGCGTGAGGTTGTTTGTTTGCTCAGCCCTTGCTCTGCTGCGCAGCCCTACAGGTTGGGCCAGGGAGAGAGCTGTTCAGTTTATTTTCCTTTGGCTGGGAACTGTGGAGATGAATAGAGGGAGGGGGATCTGGGGTTGAGAGATTTCTGCCAAGAGCAATTTGGAGTCTCCTTCATATTAGTCAGAGATTGTTTTTCCTTTCTGAAGCCACCCGCCTCATAGTAACTTCCACGAAGGATTTTTTTTTTTTCCATACTTTTTGGTGTGTGCCTGTTAGTTTTTGTTTTGATTTTTAACTTGCTGGACTTCTCATGACTTAGCAAAAGAAAAAGAAAATAGTTCAGGAGATGGGGTGATGAAACCAGCCTTTCTACCATACATTCTGTATGTCATTGCTTAATAAATTTGAATACTGATAGACCCCAAGGAACCACGACGAAGCAGGATGAGTAATTCCTTTGAAGAGAGAGTTTATCTTCTGTGGATGACTTTCAAAATCGCAGCATAATTTTAACTTTCCCTCTGTACATCTAGGTCCTGTGTTTAGAAAAAGAAGAGCACTTGGCTTTCTTCTGTGGAGCTCCCTTTTGTTCCTTTAGAAGCTCCCATTCACTCTGGGCCTTGCTTGGGAAGGGAAGCAGCCAGAGTGGGCCTCCTTCCATCTCATCCTCACCATCCACTCCCCACCTCCCTTCATGTAGGAGGCCAGCTAGTGAGGCGTGAGCTTCCCACTCAGGGTATGAGCTGCTCCCCAATGGCAACTTGGCTTGTGTCCTCAAGGAGCACAGAACAGGAAAGCTTGTCTAATCAAAGCCTGCCCTCTCCTAGGGCAGGAACCCTTGGGGCATGATGTTCATCAGTCAACAAGTGAGTCCACCCATTGAACAGATAAAGTGCAGCAACAGTGAGACTCCTAACTTGAAAAATTGCCTAATAATATGGTACGATCTATGTTGACACTTTCTAGTTAGATACAAACCAGATACAAATGTACACATGACCCACCCAAATGATATAACTGGACTTGGCCTGCAGGAAAATTCTGACTTGCATATACACATGTATGAACATATACACACAAGCCTCTTGCATTTTTGGCTATGGATTCTGGCTGATGATTCTGTTAAGTTGTTTCTGGAGATAACAGGCTGGCCCTTTGGTCTTTGTGAAGCTGCTGGTGGAGGCCCCTGGAGAGGTGGCAGTGACCCCAGCTCCTGTTGAGACCTGCCTTCCCAAAGCCCTAGGGAAGTCTAGCAGAGCCGGTTCTGTAAAGCAGAACCCAACTAACAGGAACTTTTCTCTGGCAAGGTT